TTCGCTCAGTTGCAGTCAGATGCAAATCAAAAGACTTCACAACCCAGGAAAACAATGTCTTTGATTTGCATATGACTTGGAATGTGCTTGGGAAGATGGGCCTCCCTGTTGCACACCAAATATTTGCTGTATTGCAAATTGAAAGAATTGAGAAAGACTCCTAGATACAGTAGGTGTTGAAACATCTTCAGAAAAACTGAAATGCCCATTTTCACTACCCTTCCAAGACCGTGCCAAGAACAGTCCAAGCATGGTAACCGAGATAACTGTTGAGTGTAAATGGAAAGAAACTGAACTGGACCGTGCCAGACAAAACAAAACTATGCTAAATCTCTTACTAGTTCAACACTAGGGCTCAGCATGGTTCAGTTTCGGATGGGTTATCTGATAACAAAGAGCGGATGAGCAGACCGCGTCATCTCCTATTTACAGTGAGCTGGCTCATTTCGCGGACTTCTTCTCAGCCTATTAACAATAAATGACATCGGAAGAGCATGGTGCGACCTAGGATGATGCCGAGAACGAGGCTCTCATTGAAATTTGGGTGTAGGACGATATTGAGGTGCATTAGTTCCTGAATTTTAAGGGTGTCGCCATCTTTGTTTGTGTAATTCCCACCTTGAGAGCTGTAGTATAGTTGATCACCGATAGGAGGTGAAGAACCATGCTAGCATAATGTGTAAATAATCATAAGAACCAAGCTTGGCACGGTTAACTGATCCAAGCTTAGTTTGAACTTGGCACGGATCATTTCAGATAGTGTTGCACCGATGCCGATACCAGTATCAGGTGGGGCCCTGATTCTGCACTAAAATGGTGGTATAGGTATCGGTGAGTACCGACAAAAAGGGCACCAATACCATTTTGAGAGCTAAAAGTTTATTCAACTATTTTTACCCATTCCAAGTAGGCAATAAAACGTTCTACTGGATTCACTTTGTATTTGTCTTTTTCCTGCTTCACAAAGGTAGGCAGCAGCTTGACAAAGCCATGATAGTAATTATTTTACATCCAAATAGTATGCAGTTCTTCATATAAATACACACACAGATCAATTTCAAACAGATGGTATCGGTATGGTATCAGCATGGGCCAATACTGTACAGCCAGGTATCGGGTATCAGGTATCGGGGCCAAAAAAGGCCATCTGCGCAACACTAGTTTCTGAGGGGTAGTGTAAATGGGGCATAGGCTTATGTCTTCCTGATTGAAGCCTGTTTTGTTGTAGCCACGGCCCGGATGACTGAGAATTTACACCGGCATGTGAGTGACTCAATCTTGAGTTTTTAAGGGTTTACAACAACATTGTCCGCATAAAAAAATACATATTTGACATTTTATTTAATAAAATACAAGAATTCCTGGAAGGACTGATAGCTGAAACAAATGAAACCAAAGAGCAAGCCCTTTACTTTTCTTTTCCTTTTGACCAAATGCCAAACCTTTATGGCACCAAAAACAGTCTCGCACTCAAATGCCAAGCTGAAATTAATCTAAGTGAAACTTAGACTAAGCAATTGTCTGTTGAAGCATTTCTACAAAATATATAGAACAGTGTATTTGAAGGAGCTCAGACAAGAAGTCTTTAGCTGGAAGGAAAAATATCATGCAGAGGCCGACTTAATCGGCAAAGAAGGTCTAAACCCTTGAAACTGAAAAGCTGTGAAGCAGCAAACACAATAAAAAAAAAAAAATCATGTCTCGGTTTTCACCACCATGGCCGTGGAGTCTCAGCAGGGGGTCTGCTTTCTGCTTCAAGATGTTTAATTTCAATTCTCGCCATTTTGCCAGAGGATTTCTGTCAGTGAGTGAAGAGCAGAAAGAGTCTGGCTCCTTTTTAAAACTGAAGAAGTGCACTAGAAAGGTAATGTTTTCTCTTTGTTTTCCCACAGCTTAAAGAGAACAGGCTATTTTTAGGTTACTCACAGTGACTCATGATCTTTGCTAAGGAACACAGAAAAAAAACAAACAAATGCCACTTTACATGATTAACATGTGTTGGTTTACAGCAAGACAAGAAAGTGATGTAAAGAAGGCTTCAGTCCGATATGCTTGGCTAACTACACGGATCGTGTTGATGTCAGACTCATCTCACACGTGTCCATCAGCTGAGACCGATCTAACACTAATGATGCAGCAGAATTAAGGAAGTCACCATGGCAACAGCCTACTGTCTCAAAAAGCAAGGACACATGGGGGGCCTACTCTCCCTGACTGGGAGAGAAGATCAACAAGAGTAACTAATCACTAGATAGCAGCTTGAGTTTGAGACTCTGACTGGAGTCGCACCTCAGTCACAAAAAAAAGATTTTAAGCTTGACTTGGACTTAGTAACATTTTTTATATCATATAATGTAGATGGAAATGTCGATATGCAACAAATTGCAGCTTCTGTTATGAACTTACTGAACTTGATTACCAACCAGTGACTTTGATGGTTTACTATGTGGTGTTAAAGACTCACAGCTGTTCATGTTAGCAGTACTACTACATTCAAAATATCAATATATCTCACAGTAAATGCTGTATTAAATGAGTTTGGAACAAATATAAAACAAAATCAACTTTCCTCCAACAAATATATGCTTTTACTGCCCAGTGAGCTGTTATCACAAGGATGCTTCAGCCTCAGCATTTCAAAATATTTTACTGTTACATTTATTGCGAAGTTCAACACTGTTATTTATGTTGAGATCAAATGTCATTGATGTAACAGGAACGACTCCCCTCTGAAGTCACACCCCTACGACAGGGTTTACTTAAAGGTATTGTCGAGGATTTTCCCGAAAGACCTGCCCCTTCCCCTTAAAAAAAAAAAAAAAAGCACATGCACAACCCTGTACCCGCTTCCGAGAGGGAATGCCTATTAAACGCTTACGAAAGCATGCACAAGCCCATTTGCCCTCGTGCAAGCTCCGTATTAAAGTTGCTGTTCTCATAGCTCATACAAGCTTAGTGTGTCTGAACGTCCGGCCTAACCCCTACATCCTTCAATCACTATATAGAGTGGGGACTATATAGTGGACTTTATAGCTGATCAGTTAACTTACCATTTGGTCAGATTAGTACTTTTTGCTCCCCGTTGGTCTGGTAACTCCTCCTCCCCTGCACGGTGCCTTTGCCATCTT